GGCATATACAGCCTCTCGGCCGCGGACCTGTTGGAGTGCCTCGCGCCGCCCGCCTCAGCTGCGGGCCCGCCCGCAGACGGCCCCGCCGCAGACGGCCCAGCCGCAGACGGCCCCGCTGCCGACGCTGGCGGCGGCAGCGGCGCGCGGCTGCTGTCTGGGGTCGTGCGGCACGAGTGGGAGTGCGGCGAGCTGCGGCGCCTGCGGGAGTACCACCGGGACCATGAGTTGATAGAGCCGGGCGCAGGGAGCTGGGGGCCCACAGGCGACATCAAGGCAGCTGGGGAGCCGTGTGGGCGAGAAGTGCAGGCGGGGTCAGGCCCAGGTGCTAATTTGAATGTCCTGCTGCCACAGAGGCGGACTAACCAGCAACCGAGGCAGCCGCAGGGGCAGGAGGAGGCGCCTGCGGCGCCGTCTCCAGCGCTGCAGGAAGCTGCGCGGCAGCTGCTGGAGGCGCTGAGGGCGGCAGTCAGGGTGCGGTGCCACACGATCGAGCCAACCTATGGTGAAGGTGGTGCAGCTACGTTCAGCAGCAGCACTAGCAATGGCAATGACTGCGGCGGCAGCAGCGGTAGCGGATATGCCGAAAACGTCGCAGCAGTAGCAGCTGAGGGCGTACCCACAGCACCCTCGGCAGCAGACGTGCCGCCTGGAGCATTGGTAAGCTCCGAGCTGATGCCTTTGGAAGCATCAACCTCCGCGGCAGTGTCGGCGTCGGCGGCCGCCGCGCAGCGGCCGCGGCCCCTGCTGCCGCCCGCGCCCGTCCTGGTGCTCTTCAGCGGCGGCGCAGACTCGACGCTCCTGGCCGCCCTCGCTGACGAGGCGCTCCCCCGGGGCGCCCCCATCGACCTCTGCAACGTCTGCTTCGACGGCGGGCAATCCCCTGACCGCCTGGCGGCGCGCGACGCGCTGCTGGAGCTCGCGGCCCGCGCGCCGGCGCGGCCGTGGCGGCTGATCGAGGCGGACGCGACCCTGGCTGACGTGGACGCGGCGCGCGCGCACCTGCTGGCGCTGCTGGCGCCGGCTGGGACGGTGATGGACCTGAATATCGGGGCGGCGCTGTGGCTGGCGGCGGGCGGGGAGGGGCAGGTCGTGACGCCTGAGCAGGTGGCGGGAGACGTGGCCGCGGCGGCGGCGGCAGCAGCGGCAGCAGCAGAAGCAGCAGCAGCAGCGGCGGCAGCGGCGGCGGCAGCGGAGGCGGGTGACGGGGACTGGCAGGGTGATGCCCCAGGATCGAGCAAAGCGGGAGCAAGCCGGCGCGAGCAACAACACAGAAACGGATACAAGAAGAGTGCGGCTGGTGGCGAGCGACAAGGTGCCGAGGCCATCAAGCAGCAGCAGCAGCAGCAGCAGCAGCAGCAGCAGCAGCAGCAGCAGCAGCAGCAGCAGCAGCCGGCGCCGTCCCCGCCGCCTGGCCCCCTCTACCGCTCCCAGGCCCGCGCCGTGCTGCTGGGCCACGGCGCGGACGAGCAGGCCGCGGGCTACGGCCGCCACCGCACCGCGCAGCGCGTGGGCGGCTGGCCGGGGCTGGCGGCCGAGCTCGCGGCCGACGTGGGGCGCATCTGGCTGCGCAACCTCGGGCGCGACGACCGGCTGGTGGCGGACCGGGGGCGGGAGGGGCGGCACCCATTCTTGGACGAGCGGGTGGCGGGCGTGCTGCTGGGCGCGCCGCTGGCGCTGCTGTTCGACTCGGCGCGGCCGCCAGGTGAGCGTGTAGGTGCGCGCGGAGAGATGTGTGTGCGCCGTGCGTGTGTGCCCGCAGGGCATGGGGCGGCGCCGTTGTCGCCAACAATAATGCTGCCCGCCGCGCCGCTGCCTGCGCAGCCCCGCTTCTCGTCAGCCCAGCGCACCCGCTCATTTTAATGCCCGCGCGCGCTCATTTCAATCCCTGCCATCACGCCGGCCCGCGCCCCTCCCCCTCCTTTGCAGGCCAGGGCGACAAGATGGTGATAAGGGAGGCCCTGCGTCAGCTGGGCCTGCCGCGCGCCGCCGCCAGGGAGAAGCGCGCCATCCAGTTCGGCACGCGCATCGGGAAGCACGCCAACGTCAGGGACTTTGGCAGCGGGCGGCGCGCCAACGCGGCGAGCGCGGGGTCGGTGGCGCTGGGGTCGCTGCCCTGGTCGGCGGTGGGGCCGCCTGGTTGAGGGCGGCCCGGCGGCGGCTGGAGAAAAGGTGGACTGCAGGGGTGGACTGTCAAGTGCTGCTCTTTGGCGGCAGCCATTTGCCGGTATGTTGATCTGACGGAACCATCCAGCTATGAAGGTGTCAAGCAGCTACTGTAAGCATGCAGCCATGTTAGTGCCAGCGGCACAGACATCACGACGCGAGCGAAGGGGACGGGCGGTTACACTGCATGCGCGTGCACGCGCTCCCGCTCAGAGGCGCTCAGAGGCGCTCAGCCAGCGCTCAGCCAGCGGCCTCTCATCATCGTCCGCAGCGTGCGCCTGGTAGCCCCCGCATTGTGGGGCCAATCGGCGTCACGTGAAGGCAGGAGTCCACTCTTGGCTCTGGTTCCATTGCTTGAACTCAAAAAACTTGCCACGCACAAACACAACCAGGTCGCAAACCACACCCGCACCCTCTGCAACCGATAGACCGTCAGGGGGTGGGTCAGGGCTCGGCAGTGCTCTGAAGGAAAGGCTGACGGAGTTGAGACCGCAGGACACGACGGGGGACATTAGCGCGGCCCGACGGTGCTTGCGGTTGGCAAAGCGCGGGAGCTCAGCCGAGGCGGCCGCGCTTCGGGCCCCTGTCCACAGACCCCAGCAGCGCAGCGCTGCCGCCGGTGCGCTTCGCTCCCGCTAGGCTTGGCCGGCCAGTGTCGAAACTCGAGTCCTGCACGCAGACACACAGAGCAGCAGGGGCAGGGGGGTGTGGTGACGAGGCTTGAAACAAGGGGGGAACACGAGCATCTGTGGCCTGCTGAGCAATTAGTGTGACACCGGACTTGCAACCCGGTACACAAAGAGTCCCCCTGATCATGGCTTTCGCTCTGGCGCCACGGCCAACGCTGCACAACCCAGCGCGGCGATGCGCCCCTGCACACCCTGGCGTCATCCCCCCTGCTGCCGCCCTGCAGCCAGTATCCGGCCCCTCACCATCGGCGCAAACGTGCTGCCAAACCCGCCGTTGGCGCCGCCGCCCCCGCCGCCCGCGGCGGCGACGTTGCGGCGCGCGCCACCGCGCGCCGCGGTCTCGCAGCCGTTGACCTTGGCCGCGAACTTGAGGGAGCAGAGGCTCTCGTTGGCGGAGGCAGGCTCGGGGTTGATGTTCACAAACATGAGCGTCTTGCCGTTGCCGCCGAGGCAGGGCTGCGGCGGGGGAAGCGGCGAGGAGATCCGCCGGCGGCAGTTGAAATAGGCGAGCTCAGACGGAGGGGAGTGGCCCACATCGACCGCTGAGCGTCCTGGTGAAGGGCGTTGGGGCTGGGCCCGCAGTAAAACAGCTGCACATTCAGGCGCAAACGCAGTATGCCGATGTGCTGTACAATCCACCTCGCTTGACCCATCGCCGCGCCCCCACCCCTTGATCACCCCAGCGCCGCAAGGCCCCCCCCCTGGCCCCCACCTGCAGCAGGTAGGTCAGCTTCGAGTTGCGGTAGGGGCAATGGGCGCTCTTTGAGGAGAGGGCCGCGAAGACGTCCCCCAGGGCGCTGAGGGACTGGTTGATGCTGCAGGCCTCCTTCTTGCGCTGGTCCTCAGCAAGGGAGCGGTCCAGCCGCTCGCTGGGCGGGGGTCGTGGCGGGTTTTGAGGGTGCACAGCGCGGATCGGTCGAGGAGGGAGCCTGATTGCCTTGCGACATGGGAGGGAGTCGGGTTCTTGGGTGCCTCACGGCGCAAGCGGGCGGCTACGACGCACCAGGGGCGAGCGCTCACCCCCAGCAGCGCCGAAGCCGGGCTCCGCGGCCCCCGCCGCAGCCGCAGCCGCAACCCCAAATCCCCCCCGTGCCTGATGCGCCCCCTGGTCAAAACCGCCGCGGCGTCCGGCGCCCTCCGGCCTCTCTCAGCTTCCCCGCACCTGCCCGCCAGGTCCACGAGGCACAGGCAGCCGCTCAGCCGCGTGCTGCTGGCCGCGTGGGCCCCCGCGATGTACAGCATGAACACCACGTGGCTCCTGCTGCTGGAAGAGTTCATCGCCGTCTCCGCGCACGCCCGCGCCTCCCCCGCGCGCCGCACGAGCTCTGCAGCGTGTCCCGCGCCCGTGACGGGCACGCGCGCCGCGCCGGCGACGGTGGTGTGGCCGCCGGAGGCGTCGTGCTTGATCGCGTTGGCGTCGGCGATGCGGCCGGCGTCGGGGCTGCGCGCGGCGCCGTCGGCGAGGAGGTCCCTGGGGCCATGACGGGTGCGGGTTGGGGTGGCAGAAGGGGCTGGCTGCGAGAGGGCATTATCACAGGCACAGGGTGCTGCAGCAACCAAAGCGGCAAGGCGCTGCAGCGTCGCCACGCTGTTTGGTAGCTAACAACCGTGCGACGCTTGCGGCAGTTGTCTTGATGTGCGAGTCGGTAGAACCCCCTCTCCTCACAGCCCCCAAACCCGACCCTCCCTTTAGACACAACTTGTGAACACCCCGTCCGTCCGACCAGCCCGCTCCACTAGCCGCCGACCGCCCGATGCTCCCATCAGCCCCTCCGCAACCCTCCAACCC